TGGTGTTACGTTGTATTCATATCGCTAATCCACACATGAGAAAATGTGTGTAATAAAAACTTCTACTTCGTCCCTGGGTGGGCTTGAACCACCAACCTTTCGGTTAACAGCCGAACGCGCTAACCGATTGCGCCATAGAGAGTGCAACGTTGATGTTATGTTGTATTCATATCGCGAATGAGATCCACACATGAGAAAATGTGTGTAATAACAACTTCTACTTCGTCCCAGGCCGGGCTTGAACCACCAACCTTTCGGTTAACAGCCGAACGCCCTAACCGATTGCGCCACAGAGACTGCAACAATGGTGTTACGTTGTATTCATATCACGAATCCACACATGTGAAAATGTGTGTAATAACAACTTCTACTTCGTCCCAGGCCGGGCTTGAACCACCAACCTTTCGGTTAACAGACGAACGCGCTAACCGATTGCGCCACAGAGACTGCAACAATGATCTTATGTTGTATTTATATTGCGAATCCACACATGAGAAAATGTGTGTAATAAAATCTTGTACTTCGTCCCTGGGTGAGCTTGAACCACAAACCTTTCGGTTAACAGCCGAACGCCCTAACCGATTGCGCCACAGAGACTGCAACAATGGTGTTACGTTGTATTCATATCGCTAATCCACACATGAGAAAATGTGTATAATAAAAACTTGTACTTCGTCCCTGGGTGGGCTTGAACCTCAAACCTTTCGGTTAACAGACGAACGCCCTCACCGATTGCGCCACAGAGACTGTAACAATGGTGTTATGTTGTATTCATATCGCGAATCCACACATGAGAAAATGTGTGTAATAAAACCTAGTACTTCGTCACTGGATAGGCTTGAACCACAAACCTTTCAGTTAACAGCCGAACGCGCTAACCGTTTGCGCCACAGAGACTGCAACAAAGATGTTATGTTGTATTAATAATGCGAATCCGCACATGATAAATTGAGATTAAGAAAATCTTGTACTTCGTGCTCTTAAACCACAATCTTTTCGGTTAACAGCCGAAAGCGCTAACCGATTGCGCCACAGAGATGCAACAATGGTGTTATGTTGTATTCGTATCGCGAATCTACACATGACGAAATGTGTGTAATAAAAACTTCTACTTCGTCCCTGGTTGGGCTTGAACCAACAACCTTTTGGTTAACAGCCGAACGCCCTGACCGATTGCGCCACAGAGACTGCAACAATGGTGTTATGTTGTATTCATATCACGAATCCACACATGAGAAAATGTGTGTAATAAAAACTTGTACTTCGTCCCTGGGTGGGCTTGAACCACAAACCTTTCGGTTAACAGTCGAACGCCCTCACCGATTGCGCCACAGAGACTGGAACAATGGTGTTATGTTGTATTCATATCGCGAATCCACACATGAGAAATTGTGTGTAATAAAAACTTCTACATCGTCCCTGGGTGGGCTTGAACCACCAACCTTTCGGTTAACAGCCGAACGCGCTAACCGATTGCGCCACAGAGACTGCAACAAAGATGTTATGTTGTATTAATAATGCGAATCCGCACATGATACATTGAGATTAAGAAAATCTTGTACTTCGTGCTCTTAAACCACAAACTTTTCGGTTAACAGCCGAAAGCGCTAACCGATTGCGCCACAGAGACGCAACAATGGTGTTATGTTGTATTCATATCGCGAATGAGATCCACACATGAGAAAATGTGTGTAATAGAAACTTCTACTTCGTCCCTGGGTGGGCTTGAACCAACAACCTTTTGGTTAACAGCCGAACGCCCTGACCGATTGCGCCACAGAGACTGCAACCATGGTGTTATGTTTTATTTATATTGCGAATCTACACATGAGAAAATGTGTGTAATACAATCTTGTACTTCGTCCCTGGGTGAGCTTGAACCACAAACCTTTCGGTTAACAGCCGAACGCCCTAACCGATTGCGCCACAGAGACTGCAACAATGGTGTTACTTTGTATTCATATCGCTAATCCACACATGAGAAAATGTGTGTAATAAAAATT